AAAGGTCAGTGTTAATGAAAATCATTTCAGGATTTTTTTCATAAATTATGTTTAAAATAACTTTTTCAGGAACCCTCTTACATTGTTGGTATGAATGTAAAATGGTACAGCCACTGTAGAAAACAGTTTGGCAGTTCGTCAAAAACATAAGCATAGAATTGCCATATGATCGCTGCAATTCCATTCCTAGGTATACACCCAAAAGAAGTGCAAACAGGGACTCGAACCAATACTTGTACGTGTATCTTCATAGCAACACTATTTACAACAGCCAAACAGTGGAAACAGCCCAAATGTCCATCAGTGGATGAATGTATAAGCAAATGGTGGTATAGACATACAATGGAATATGATTTCACCATATAAAGGAATGATGTACTAATATATGCTACAACATGAACATACATCCAAAATAATCATGCTAAGTGAAAGAAGGCATACACATATCATATGATACTCTTTATATGAAATACGCAGCATAGAAAAATCCATGAAGATGGCTGGACACAGTAGCTCATACCTATAACCCCAGCACTTTGGGAGGCCAAGATGTACAGAACACTTGAGGCCAGGAGTTCAAGACCAGCCTAGCCAACATAACAAAACCTCATCTACTTAAAAATACAAAAAACTAGCCAGGCATGGTGGCGTGCACCTGTAATCCTCAGGGGACTGAGGCATGAGAATCACTTGAGCCCAGGAGGCGGAGGTTGCAGTGAGCCAAGATCATGCCACTGCACTCCAGTCTGGGTGACAGCGCAAGGCTCTGTCTCAAAAAAAAAAAAAAAAAAAAAAAATCCATTAAGGCAGAATGCAGGTTGGTGGCTGGGAGGAGGGGATAATAGGAGAAATTCTTAATAGATAAGGGATTTTACTTCCAAGTGATGAAAATATTTTGGAACTAGATAGATGTGATGGTTTGTACAACATTATGAGTGATGAGTGTACTAAGTGCCACTGAGCTGTTCACTTTAAAAAGACGAGTTTTAATGCATGCAATTCGCCTCAATAAATTATTTTTTCAACAGAAAAGGAAAAACAGCTTTTTCAGGCTAAGTAGGAATGGGATGAGATTTTTACTAGGAACTGAGATTCAGGCCCTTTTTGGTTTATTTGTACGTGGGACCTCACATTGTTAGAGAATGCGAGGATCTTTGAGAGCCATGTTTGTGTCGTTGCCGTAGGAGCTGATTTTATAAATCCTAACCAAAGCAGATTTGCGAAGATGATTTATACTTTTCTGGCTGTAGGCTGGAACACTAAGGTAAATATTTTGTTTTCTCCTTCACTCGGAGAAAAAAGGAACAGCTTTTCTGCAGCTCTGTCTGAGGCCCCAGCCACCTGTGTGTAAGCGGAGCTCGGCATTGCCCTGATGGACGTGGTGTTGTTATCTGAAGAACAGGTGTAGTGTGCACAGCGAGGCAGGAGGTGAAGTCAGACCAGCTGCCTCTGAGATGGTGCTCTCTCTGTCTTACAAGAAGGACTGATCCCCAGCAGGAGGTTGGGGAGGAGGCGAAAGGGGGAGTATTTTGTCTATGATATTTCAATAATTCTAAAGTATATGGTATAGTTGGCTGTAGAGATGGTAAGCCTAAATAAAATTCCAGTTCTGCAACTGACTATCCATGTGTCCTTGGCGAGTTACTTAACTTTCTGCACCGCAGCTTTCTGACCCCTAAATTGGGGATCATAACGCTGTCTTATAAAGATTTTAAGGATTAGATGAAATCCACACATGCAGTGCCTGGCCCATGGAGATGCACAGAAACATTCACCTCTCTGAGGAGGCAATGCTCTGAAACATGTCACCTCTGAGTGTTGACGCCAGGGAAATGTGAGTGTTCTTTCAGCCTGTGTGACTCTTCCCGCTTTACCCTTTTCACCCCGCCCCCTTTACTTTTATGTCCCTTTCTTCGTGCTGCCATTTAGAGGAAGTGAAAAATATCTGGGTTTTGTTTTGTTTTATCATCAACTGTCTTCCCTAAGTAGAGAAGACTGCATTTTTCTTTTTCTACCTTTTTTTTTTTTTTTTTTTTTTTTGAGACGGGGTCTCATTTAGTCACCCTGGCTAAAGTATAGTGGTGTACTCGCAGCTAGCTCACTGCAACCTCGAACTCCTGACCTTAAGCCATCCCCCTGCCTCAGCCTCCCGAGTAGCTGGGACTACGGGTGTGTGTCACTGTGCCTTTCTAGTTTGAAAAATTTTTTGTAGAGATTGCCAGGGTGGGGGTTCTCACTGTGATGCCCAGACTGGTCTCAAACTCCTGGCCTCAAGTGATCCTCCTGTCTCCACCTCCCAAAGCACTGGGATTACAGATGATGAGCCACCCTGCCCAGCCAAGACTGCTTTTTTTCTCTTCCCATTCCTGGTTTGCCACATACATAATTATATTTCATTCTCACAGGCCTTTATATAAGAAAGAAATGTGCACATTACCCCTGTGTATTTACATAGTTGCGTCCCCCTCTCTACTGTCAACAAAATCACTGACCTTCAACAAACATCACGTTATCAATGGCTTTCCAGGTACCTTCTCTTTGCCTTGGTTTCCTTCTGTTCATCTACAGCACACTTTTTCTCCCTCTGACCAGTTCTCCCAAGTCTTAGACATTGATTAGAATGTCTATTCTTCCTCAAATTCTGATTTGTTAGTACCTTTCTTCCCCGCTTCCTTAATTCAGGAAACATTTATTGGACACCTGTTAGAGGCAAGGCAGGGTGCTATGATGAATCAGAACCAGGCCCTTCCCGCAAGGAGAGTCCAGTGCAGAGAATTAAACAGAAATCACTCTGATCACAGTTAAGCTGTGGGACAGGATTTTACTGAACTCTGGTTTTGTAGCCATTTCATCCCTGAGTCATGCTTCTTCCATAATTTTGGGTAATTTGTCCAAAACATCTTTTGCAGGTTATATTTTGGAACTATTATAAATCCCCCTTTCCTAAATTTTTGAGTGTGTGTTCTTTCTCCTCTTGGAATTTTATATGAGTTTTAATGAACTGTTTGTTCTGTAAACCATTCCGTAGAGCAGTTCTGATTTGTTCTAATTCTTTGCTTTCCCCTGGCCTCTTGAAGAACTTTTTAATGTCCTCAAGCTCAAATATATCTACTTCTGTTCTCAAGTATAGAAGTTTCCTTCCCATGTAGCATTAATGTTGGGCAATCAGGTTGGCATTCTTGGCCTCATTTCCCAGTTCATGGTGGCCCCAAGAGATGGAGTGGCAAGGCCCTGAGCCTGTCTAACTAGCAGGTGGTGAAAGGCAGCCCCGGGCCACACAGTAGTCGTGCAGTTCCAGTGAGGCCTAACCCTCCATTGTGAGCTGCCCGCTGTGATGGTCACTTTGATGACAAGGACCACGGCTCCCTGAGAATCGGCCTGCAAGCAGCCTGCTCCTCTAATGATGGAACACATATGGCTGCTGGCAGTGGGAGACAGTATGAATATTAATAAACTATATTTCACTTTTATTACTTTTTCATTAGGTTTTCATGGAGATGGTGTTTGTGAGTGAAGTCCATGCACTGAGCTACAGACAGGCATTTTGTTTTCTTGACAAAATGGTGAACCTTGCAGCCAGAGGCAAGAGCATGTTTAGGAGCAGCTAGCTAGGAAAAATGCCAGTAAACATTAGCAGGCCATATCATACGGGGCGAGCCTGTGGATTTCTGTATTTTAACTGTTTTCTGAGGCAGGTAAATACCACAGGTTCAGCAGTTTTGCAGGATATTCCTCGTTTGACTGTTCCTTTTCTATTGTAATGTCTGCATGCAACTATTAGGCTGTTGCCCTGCCCCATAAGTGGTTCCCAGTCACCTGTCCTGGGGTTAACAGGCAAAGCCTGTTCTCCTGCCCACTCACTCTGCACCTTCCAGCACTCATCCTCCACCTTCCTCTGCTCACCTGACATCTTTCCACCAAACCAAAGCAGACACTACCTCCCGCATTTATCATAGCTGAGTGCCCATCTCTGTTTTGATGTGACTGTGGGCCATGCGCACAGGAATGAGCAGGCCACCAGGCAATGGCGGGCTTGTCTTGATCAGTGAACCTTGGCAGGTGGTGAGAACACTTTGATACCCAGGCAGACCAGAACAGACTCCCCATGTAGTTCCAGAGACCAAAGGTGGATCTGGGCTGGGGCAGGAATGACCCCTCAGCATGACAGTGCCCCATGCCTTTGGTCCTGCCTTGGGAGGAGACACCTGTCGGAACTCTGAGCCGTGTGTTGCTGGGATACGTCATGATCATCGATCCAAGGTATCTTTGTGTTGGTGATGGGTGTCTGTCACTGGGCTAGGTGACAGAACCTTGCTCTGTTGATACATATCTGATGTCTTGTGGAGCATTTAAGGACACACATGTCTCTGGCAGAATGGAGCATGGCAGACTGTGAGAGTTACAGGAGGATGGATTAAAGTTCATCCGTTTATTTCATGAGTCATAAAGAGCCGATGAATTTTTGCTAATTCGAAGTGTGTCTGTTTCAGCCAGGTCAAAAGAGAAATCTGAGAGAAACCTTCTGTACTGAGTAATGCAGACCCTTCAGACTTAACCTTTCTTGATGATTTATTGAATAGGAAAAAAAAAGTATATTTCTGCTTTTGCAGTTCCAAGTTTCTTCTCAGTTTAGAATTAATCACTTCAAGGAAAGACTGCACTCTTTATGCACATAGAAGTGGCTTGTTTTTAGAGTTGGATTATCACTCCTTTCATGCATTCAGTTTGCAGCAAGCATTTCTTGAGTGCCTACTGCCTGCTGGATACTGCATTTTAGTATCTGATAAATGCATATGTTTTTAGAAATGTTTACCTGAGTCACACATTATTGGATAATAAAGATATCATGTGTATATAAATTTTCCAAGTGACTAAAACTTACCCATTTCAACACCATACTTAAAATGTTTTGTTTTGTTTTGTTTTTCTGGACAGAAATTTAACAGGAAGACATCATAGCATCCCACACCTTCTGATACAGAGTAGAGGACAAAGGGGAATGAATGGTACTGGCATTTTAATAAGCATCTGCTAAAGGCCAGAGGCCTACATTTAATCTTTGGGACAACTCCCCATTTAGTGGGTGAGAAAACTGAGTCTGAGGAAGCCAACTGCCAAGTGGCACAAGGCTAGAAGTAGTGCTGCTGGGATTTGAACCAGGTGTGTCTGACCCCCAGACACACGTTTCTTCCACCAAGTGGTGCTCTCTCTCCAACTGAACCCCTTCCTAATCCCTCGGAGTTGTTATGAACGTGATGAAATGTGTTCAAACACAGACATGCACTTAGATGCTCTATTTAGATGTTTAATTATCTTTGCTTCAGTTAAAAGGCTCCTTGTATCTGTGTTCATTCAGTTAAAATTCTAACTCTAGCTGCCATTTATTAAGTGCCAATTATATGCAAGGAATTTTACATGCATTATCTCTGTTCTTCACAAGGTATTTTTTCCATTCTGTGGATGAGGAAACAAGCTCAAGGAGGTCAAATAACTTGCCTCAAATCCTATAATTACTAAGTGATAGAGCCTTTGGAGTCTTTCTGCCTCTAAAACCTTTGCATCTTCTCACTGTGGTTGGTCTCTGTTCCTCTCAGGGTTGGGAACTGTTGTCAGTATGCCAGCCCCTTCCTGCAGTGGCTGTCTCCTGTTCTAATGTCATGTTCCCATCTCTTCATGACCGCAGAATCAAGTCACCAAACCTGTTGGAGGTAATGGAAAAAATATTGGCATAGAAACCAAACGACCTGGCTTCTAGCCCCAAGCTGGGCATGTGACCTTAAGCAAGCCCTTGGCTCCTGGAATTGAGAGCCTTACTTCTTTCCTGCCTGGGATGGGCATTTGTCACGAATGTGTGAGAATCTGCATATGCTCCACCCACATAATGGGTACAGACGAAATTATGTTTGAGACATAAGCATGTAACTTTTTTTCTGATGCATATAGATGCTATTGTGATTAATAAATTGGAAAATGTGGCTTGGCTACTGTGGCTTTTTGGTATTTTGTATTTTCTCAATTGGAAGATAATAACAATGCAATTACTATCATGTGGGATCTAACCATTCCCCCACCCCCAGTTCTACAGATGAGGATAGAAACCCACTTCATGTCAGGGAGCCACGGTCACCCCTCTCTGTACACAGGAAAAGAACGTGTCCTGCTCCCTTAGTAGGATTGCTGTGCAAGTCTAGGATGTGGGAACATAGTGCAGGGTATACAGAGCTAGCTCTATACCTTTGACCTTGGCATTAAGCAGGCTCTCAGGGAGGGCCTGACGCCCTCTCTGTAGCCAGTGTGCATGAGCTTTATGCACGGATTTTACAACATCTATTTTCGGTGCTCAAAGGCCTTTTTGAGTTCACTTCCAGGTTCTGGATTATGTTCTAGGTAGTTGCTGGTGCCAAATGAAAATGAGCTCCAAATGTTATTAAATGTATATATTTCTTTAAAAAAGAAAATACTGTTTCGGATACTTCAAAATTAGAAACTGCACCAAGGGTGTTGGTCGTTTATTTGAGCGCTGGCCTATTTAAAATTTTTAGAAAACCAAAAACTGTCCATCTACTGTCGGTCTACTGATATGTATGTAATGTTATATCAAAAACCTTTTACCTTAAATTTTACTTTTTAATATATGACTGTTTAAAAATCGTCTTTTTATAAATATCCTGGTTTTGGTGGATTTAATACCTTCCCTAAAAGGAGAAATAAGTATACCACATATATTTCTATTCCCCAAGAACTCTGGATTTTTTTCATAGGCCGCAGTTTTTAATGTATTATTTATTTTTGAGGTATTAATATAATTTTGTACTTGACAGAGCACCATCATGTATACAGTTTCATTTAATCATCTGAGCAGCTCTGTTTCATCCCCACTTGCACAGGTGGAAACTGAGAATCTGCCCTGTCCCTGGAAGCAGAGCCACGAAGGAGTCAAGCCAGCTGGTCCCCAGCCAGCTCTCTCCATACCAGGCTCACCTCCTTACCCCAGCTGGTTTCGCTGCTGTGAGGCAGCTCACTGTGCCACACTTATCCCATGTGGTTTATGAGGGCTCATGAGGTGAAGGGTCAGGCTTTCATTTTGGTCCAATGTTTCACATAGAAATTGTGCTCCATGCAGCAGTGCCAGGTCAGAGTGTAAGTGACTCTAAGCCACATGTTACTCTTGGGTGGGCAGGGAGCGGGGTTGCAAAAGAGCAAGACTTAATGACACTGGATATCTGCTATTATTGTCTTATTACATGAAAAGAGGGCCTAAGTTTGTTGTCATTCTCTCCGCAGATATAAACACTGAACTTTCTTAGTCATAATGGGGAGGGGCTCGTCAGAGTGCTAAATTACCGGCAACTGCAGTGTTATTTGATGTTCGGTTTTATCAGCAAGGGTGCCAGATGTTTGCACAATAGAAGCTATGGAACTATAGGGCCATATAAAGCAGCTCTGCAGCTAACCTCATATAGAGCCAATACCACACTGTGATAATAAGGGTAGGGGGGCGTTTTCCTTTTGTCCAAAGAAAAGAGGTTTCCCGCAGAATCTCAACACTGTGGCCCCGAAAGTGATCTTGGCAATTATGTAATCTCACCTCCTTCATTACAGATTCTTGTTATTTATGTCAAATACATTCGAGGCTTAAGGCTCTCGGCCAGGTGCTAAAGGTGAGCATTTGCAGGCTTCCCAGGCCAAGATTGGCTGGGATCAAACACCCGGTTCATAGGATGTCTTAGTCCCTTTAGTGTTGCTATCAAGGAATACCTGAGACTGGGTAATTTATAAAGAAAAGAGGTTTATTTGGCTCATTATTCTGATGTCTTCAAAAGTTCAAGATTGATCATCTGAACATGACATGTGATCATCTGCTGCCACAGGCTGCCTCCACTCATGGCTGAAGGTGAAGGAGAGCCAGCGTGTGCAGATCACATGGCACTGGAGGAAGCAAGGCAGGGGCAGGGGAGTGCCAGGCTCCTTTCAATTTGTATTTATTTTATTTTATTTTTAAAATTTATTTCTATTTTTTGTAAAGACAGTGTCTCACTATGTTGCCCAGGCTGGTCTCGAACTCCTGGGCTCAAACGATCCTCCCACCTTGGCCCCCCACCCCAAAGTGCTGGGGCTGGCTCTTTGTTACAGCCAGCTCTCGTGGGAACAAATAGAGCAAGAACTCATTTATTACTGCAAGGGCAACACTAAGCCATTCATGAGAGATCTGTCCCCATGAGCCAAATACCTCCCATTAGTTCCCACCTCCAACACTGGAGATCACATTTCAACATAAGATTTGGGGGAACAAACATCCAGACTGTAGCATAGGGAAGCCAGCATCTGTCCACAGCCTGCTGTGTGTCCCTACTCTTCTTGGCCCTCTGTCCTCCCCAACTCTGTGTGCGGTGTTCATACCACTAAGTGGGGACCGATGCTCTAGCAAATGGCCCTTGTGTTGACGCATTCACCACCCCTTTACACTGGTGTAGTCCGGCAAGCAAGTGTTCGGGAATGGGTCTGGGGGCTTTCTGGGTGCAGCTCATTTCCCAAGCGCCTTCCCCGGCACCCCTTTAAACCTGCTGTGTCAGCTGCCCCTCCCCACACCACCCCCCCACCGCTCCTCATGGACCTGCATCGATTGGGCCCCACCTTGAGGCTCCCCCAGTCCCACGTGCACACCGAGGTGCCCTGCGCCCTGCATGAGTGCTCACTGTGGATGGTGAGCAAGGACGTCCATCCAGCTTTTTTCCCCCTCACAGGCTGCCTGAGGCCTTTGTCCTTGTCCTGTCAGGGAAGCTCTGCCTCTCTCCTGTTGATTGACTCACCGCCTGACTCCTTCCCACTCCTCTTTTTCGCATTTTGGAGTTAGAAGTCTCCAGACCCCAGTTAGTCCTGGCTCCTCTCTAGCAAAGCACAAGCCATAGCTTGGGATTTCTGAGCCACACAATTACATGTGGAGCCAGACGTGACCCCTGGACTAGTGGGAAGCTGTGTGTGACAGGGATGGGCAGGTTTGTAATACGAAAGTTCCAGGCTGGGCTCATCAGTTGAGAAACATTTCTGCACAGCTCCCCCATAGCAGACCCAGTATTCTTCACCATCAACAGACATAAGGTAATTGAGACAGGAAGGTGCTACCTATGAGGAACTTGCAATTTAGCTAATATATATAAATGATGTTGTGTGAAAGTAATTCCGGGCTGTTTCACAAGAAATATTTATTTTCATTCCAAGTTGGATAGCAAGCCAATTCTTTCTTATAAGACAGCATATAACATATATAACTTCAGAATGACACACTTGTACTGCCTAAATCTTAATCCTGAGAACGTCAAGGTTCCTTTTGGTATGTGGGCTTCATTGTGATGATTGAATTAGGCAGCCCTGTTAACGCCAACAAAATGTGACCGCTTTTCTCTGATTGCATTTCCCAACTTCCAAGTTTTCCCCATAGCCGTTTTCCCTGCCAGCAGTTCATTTCCCCAGCCCTTGGGGAGGACTCTGTGGGGTCTGTGGCTGCATTTACACCCCAGCCAAACGTGGCACTCATCGGTTGTCTCCAGGCTGCACAAAGATTCAACTTTAGCTTCTGCTCTTGGTCACCACTTGGCAGTTAGGAAAGTTTTCATTTTGAGAGTTTCTCTTCATTTACCTTGTTAATATTCAGGTTTGACTTGTAGTAATACCATAAGGTATAAACTCTTAGTAAAACTGGGAATAAAATTGTGCTATTTTACTGTACATAAGCCGCTGAATGTACCCAAAAGTCTTATACAAGTTGTTGGTCACTTTGACTTTTTTCCCTCATGTTCTATACTTGTGGCATTAAATTCACATGCAGGCAGAATCCGTCTTATAATGAACATTAGTATTTTTCAGTTTTGCTGTCTGGATTTTGGTTAGGTGGGAGGTGGGAAGAGGGAAAGTGATTTTACATGGGAACTCATCTCTGGTGTTAAAAATAGTCAATGGAGGCATATGATTGATACACAAATATTATCCTGTGCCACATTATTCAGGGGAGGACTTGATGCTAAAATTGTAGACTGTAGATGAAAATAAATAGCCTGCCAGCCCTCTGAGACATCTACCTTTAACTGGGATCATACCCGCAACCATAGCCCTTGGAAGAGAACCAGGCAGCAGCCATCAGCTCCTGCCTTTTGGCCCTGGACATCGGCCCAAACTCTAGAGTTGAGGGAGTGAGGAGGCCATTCTTCCAGTCCTTCCTGTGTCTTCCAGTCTCTAGCTGTTCTCAACTGCTTCTGATGTTCAGAGGTCAAGTTATCATTTACTTGACAATCACTCCCAGTTAGGGGGAGCGGTAAGGAGAGGAGATTGAAAGGGAAAAAGTGGAAAAGTGGAGGAGACTGCCAGGCCAAGAGAATGAGAAAGGGAGTGCCTCTTGATCTCGATGAATGAGTCATCAGCTCCAGACTCACGTGGTCATGAACAAGGAGGAGCTCACACAGGCCCGGTCTGGCCAGGCTTCAGAGGGCAAGAGGAGGGATGGTGTGTGTGTGTGTGGGGTGGGGGGGGGTGTGGGTGTGGGTGTGGGTGTGTGTGCCCAGTGGATTGTCCCTGCAGGCCCATTGGGCTGCATGCATGGCGTGTGTGCGTGCGTGTGTGTGTGTGTGTGTGTGTGTGTGTGTGTTTTGGCCCGGTGAATTGTCCCTGCAGTCTCAATGGGCCAAAACTGTACAAAACTCAATGT